TTCTTGGTTATGATACTCATTTTATCCTTCTTTGCTTACTCCATTCCTTTCATCTTTGTTTTTCTTTGAATCCCTTTAACTCTTTACTTTATTTACTCTTTTTTTTGGCATTTTGCTTTTTGTTATTTCTTTCTTTCTTTTGCCTTCTCTTTTCTTCATTTATTTCTCCTTCTTTGTACCTTTATATCACTTTTAAACTCCTCGTCTCTCCCCCAAACTTATGTTGTTGCCAAGTGTTTCTCAATAATACTAAGGAAATATCGGGTGCCAAGAGAGGGTCATTACAAAATGGATAAAGGCTTGTAATGTGGTTATTGAAAAAAGGGCTTAGGCTAAAATGGGTTGACTAGAGATATCACATTGGTAGGATATGGAAGATTTCAAATTTCAAATTGGATCAAGAAGAGCCTACAATCATTTCTCAATCCAAGATATACTTAGAATTTCACCTAAAAAATTTTTTGGGGCAAGTTCTAGACTATTGGCATGGGTACTTGGACTTGCAATTCAATATCACACCTCTCATGCCACTGGATTGCTAAAGAGAATGGAGTTGAGGGCCCACAACAACACTAGTTAAGATTGATAATCACAAATGGCTCGACTGAACCACTCGATGACTGCTTAAGTCAACAAAAGGGTAAAAAAATCACAACTAGAGCTATTTTCTGCCAACAACTTGTTTTTAACCATAAGGCCGTCGGTAAATGTGTTGGTACCAAGTGAAGGATGCTTGAGACCCTTTTATTCATTACTACTATTTTTACATAAACATAAAAGAAAACAGACTCAATCCCTTAAGAAGGTTGTCACGCCATCCATCATTGGGAAGAGCTACCCGATTCACACAAAACCCACCTTTGGAAAGAACCGTGACATTAAGAAAACCAAAGGCTTATTGTTCACTTAAACAAAAAAAGAAGCTAACAAGTCAAAAAGAAGCTACTAAAGCAAATAAGAAGTTCTACTACTAAGAAAGACAAACTAAATAAGCTATGAAATGAACTATGGAAAGTAAGACAACTTAATATACAAACCGAAGGGAAATGAATATATACATCAAATGAAAGGGAATAATATATACATAACCAAAGAGAAAAAAAGAGTATAAGAGTTATTACAGGCCAATGTCAATGTCAAATCAATCAAAATAGACCACCCCCCGAATAAAAATAAGCCTTGTCCCCAGTGCTTGACCAAAATAAGAACAAGGAAGGGTAGAGAGTTAAAAGAACTCCCTATGTGGTCTCAGTGTGCATGGCATTCTCTGCACCCCCGGTCTCCTTTAACTATATCTCATCATCACCTAGCTGAGGGACAACAGGGTTGCTGAGCATTTCCTCAACGGTGTGGGTAGTAAGGTCCGGCTCCTCAGACTAGCTGGCTACTGCCTCTAATGCCTCGGGTACTGCCGGTGCTACTCGGGCTATCTCCATAAGAAGGTGAAGAGGGATATCTCCAACTCATGCAAGCTAAGCTACCTGTTTGCTCAATTTGTCCACTGACTTCCTTGATGCCTGAGATTTCCTCATCTTCTTAACCTGTTTGCCCAAATCCTCAATAGCTTTCCCGTGTGCCACCACTGTAGCCATGATAGTATTCTGGTTTTCCAAAATCTTCTTCAATGTTTCCTCCACTGACGGAGGTACCTGTGGTGCTGCTGAGGTAGAAGACTGTGCTGCAACAACACTGGATATGTCAGACAGCTTTGAGGTAGCTGCCTGCATCCATTTGTTAAGACTCGCCAATGTCTGGGAGACTCGCAGCGCAGTCTGTGGGTAAATGGATGAGGTTGGAATTGATAATGAAGCTGATGGTCTAAAAGAAGAATGTGGTGACATGTCTGCTATTCCAGTGGAAGGACCGGCTGTTGTGGAAGGCATGTCATCTATGGACGGCTCGGCAGCTAAATCAGTAACTACTACCGTTGGCTCCTCAAACTAGCCAGCAGAGGTAGTTTCCTTACCCTTGAACGTCCAGTTGTCAGAACCCTGTAGGTGGTACCATGAGAAAGGCTTCTTGGCCTTTACTTTTATATCATACTGCCTCGGCTCCACTTTTTGATCATTGAAATACTCTGTGAGGAAGTTCAGGTACGAGTATGATCTTTCACCTTTTTGGACAACTAATGTGATGTTGGTGGACATGATGGCACCCACATTGATCAGGTACCCAACCATAATTGAAGCCACCAGGACTGCTCGGGGAAGTGGGAGATTGTTCTCATTTAAGCACGGATCAATACAACTGCATACGAAGGTCTGCCACCATTTGGCTTCAAAATTTAGGGTGGACCGGACTATAGGAACCCCTGCTGTGAGCCACGGGGGTGGTGGTCCTCGAGCAGCCAAAATCTCAGCTAGCCACGGGTGAGCTGCATCACCCATAGCAAGCGTTTCCAAATACTGGACCGCCTCAACTTCTTCAATGCCCACATAAGTGTTCAGAGCACATGAGTCGAATCTGACTTTCAGGTTTTTCACTTTTGTTATCTTGGTACCCTTCTTAATGTGAGCCACATTGGCATAAAATTCTTTAACCAAGTACTCATTTGCATCGATGACATTGTGGGCGAACCATTTCCCTCGCTTTCGCTCCTGGAACTATCTAAGGACATTTGGGTTGTGAATGTCCAAATCCTTCTTTAAGAACTGTCGCTCAAGTGTGAGGGATCTCTAGGGCCACCACTCTCTGAATCTGGTAAAGGCAGTCAGGCTCACAAATTGATCCTCCCATAACTCCGTCTTCTTAGACCTCTCTAGACCTCCCACTGTAGTTTTGCCCTCTCTACCATCATCTGGGCCATCATCATCATCTTACATTTAACGGTGCAGCAGAGGCATGTGAGGAAGAGGGCTCAGAATCTTGGCTACCCTCTTCCGAACCCTCAGAAGAACTAGAAATGGAAGAGGATTCATCTCTCAAGTGGAATCTACCCGGGACTTGTTAGGGTTGAGATTGGGTATCAGGCAGTGCTTGCACAGAGTTACCCTCAGAAGCTTCCCTAGATGGGAGATACTCACTGGACTCGGAGGGTTCCGGAACTCTGTTGGTGATTGCTTTCTTGCTTATGGCTCTCTGTATGGCTAGTGGTAGGTTACTTTTGCCTCGACCTCGACCTCAGGAGGGTTAAGCTCTCCCTTTTGATGTGTCACCTCTACACGTGATCTAACCATTGTCTGCAATACATAATGATAGGAATCAGTTAGAGTTGGAGGTCATAGATGTATGTATGACAATTACAGGAAATCAAACTCAGAAGAGGCAGTGCAGACCACACAAAAGTGAGTGTAGCCGCGGACTACCAAATGCTGACCGCACAATTTCACAGTGCGGCCGCATAACCCAAAAGTGCAGACCGCACAATTTTGAGTGCGGTCACGCAACCCCAGGTTTAGACTATTGGGTTCTCTAATCTTTAACACTATGGTCGTACAAACTTTTGTGCGGGTCGCACAATTTTTCTGCGGACTACAAAATTTTGAGTGCGGTCCGCACTTTTCATTCATACTTTTGCCCTAACTTTGAGACCTGCGGGACTATACAAAAGTGTGTACGGCCACACAATTTGAATTTTATGCGGCAGTACTTTAGGGTTCATTTGTATACTTGGTAGAATCTAGCACATATTTCTTGCATGTACCAATTGAAATATTTTGAGAAATTTCAGTAACAGTATCAGATCCTGTCGCCGTCACAATCAACGCCACCGATAATTTTCCGGCACTCGTCTAGCAAAAATTCTTCCCCTAAACTCTTCATCACATTCCGCAACTCATCAGCAGAGATCGAACCATTTTTATCCACATTAATCACAGAGAAAGCTTCCTTAAGATTCTCCAAAACTTCAGCCGAATCGATAATCTTGGTGTTGAGATCGATAAAAACACAGAGAAATCTTTACGCATACAAATATATAAAATCTTTCTTCTTTCAAAATTTTGGCGCTTTACAATTAATAACCAACTCTTTCCTCTTTTTTCTTTCTTGAAATAACTGGATTTTCACGTACTGAATCTTTAAATAAAAACCTAGAATTACAAACTTTGATTTCATAATAAGGTGGTATTTTGAACAACGACTTGATTTTTTATTTTAAATTTACATTTGAGACGAACTTCTGATTCAATCTTCTTCTTCTCAAATCCGTTGTATTCTCCGATCTCATCATCCGCCGAAAACTCGCCTTTGGTTTCTTTGTGTATATTTAATTTTTACCCTTTTTAATTTCATTTTTCCTTGTTGAACTTTTAGCTTTTACGCATTTGTGTTTTCGGATTGAGCTTACGGCCAGATAGTAGGGATTTGTGAAGATTAGTTTACTTTCTTTTGGGATTTAAAATATAAAATCCCAATGAATTTTGTATTGCACTGCGATTCATTTATGTATTCAAGAACTCCTCGCCGGTCTCTTGCTCCGGCTTCGGCGAAATTGTTCATAAACTGCGATTTCTTTGAATTGTTCATAATCTCCCCCTATTCTCTTGGTTCCGTAGGTGTTTGTGTGTTTTGCAAGTATCACTTTTGTGGCTATTTGGCGGTGGTAGGGAGGTACACACACAAAAGTAGTAGAGGAGCAATTATATGTCGGGTGCCACAACATTGGGAGTATACCAAGTCGAAAGTTCTAGGTTCTATTTGCGGGAATTGGTACATCTCGCCTCCTGTTTCTCTATCTCCTATGTTAATTACTTTGTTGCCATAGTATTTCGTACTAGTCTAGTCGGTCTAGTAGTGGGCTTGTAGTTACTATTTGCTCCCTTTGTTGTTTTGTGTGGTATTTTTTTCTTTTTCATTTTTAAACCTTCGTAGGTATAGAGACTGCGTTTTGTAATAGCTTAATAAGGTCATGTCCTCGGGGAGTTCGGGTAGGCAAAAGGGGGGTAGGGCAAGGTTCAAGGGGTGGGATGGGGCCTAGAGGGGGTAAAGGGAACAAGGTCGCCTATAGATTGAGAATTGCTTCGTGGAATATAAGGACATTGACGGGTAAGTCTATAGAGATGGCGATGATTCTCCAGAAGAGGGGGGTAAATATAGCGTGTGTGCAGGAGACTAGGTGGGTAGTATTGAAAGCGAAGAATGTAGACAAGTATAAATTGTGGTTCTCCGGAGTCATGAAGGGTAAGGACGGAGTGGGCATTTTGGTGTATAGGGAGCTTAGAGAGTCGGTAGTAGAGGTTAGGCGAGTAAATGACAGATTAATGGCGATTAAGGTAGTAGTTGGAGGGATCCCTCTGAATGTCATTAGCGCTTACGCGCCACAAACGGCCTTGGACAAGGAGGTTAAAAGGCGCTTTTGGGAGGCGCTGGATGAGGTGGTGCGGGGTATTCCGCCTACGGAGAAGCTATTCATAGGAGCGGATTTCAATGATCATATTGGGTTGTCTGCTGGTGGCTATGGTGAGATGCACGGTGGCTTCGGCTTTGGTGATATGAACAGAGGTAGTACCTCATTGTTGGATTTCGCTAGAGCTTTTGAGTTGGTGATCGTGAACTCTATGTTTCCAAAGAGGGAGGAACATTTGGTTACTTTCCGGAGTATGGTGGCTAAGACTCAGATTGACTATCTCCTCCTCAGGAGGTATGGTAGGGGTTGTGCGAGGATTGCAAGGTGATCTCGAGCGAGAACCTCGCAACTCAACATAGGCACATAGTGATGGACTCCGGTATCTTGATGAAGAGGAAGAAAAGGTTTGTACGGGGTCAGTCGAGGATCAGGTAGGGAGCTTTGTCTAAGGATAATGCAGGGGAGTTGGATGGGCGGCTGGCGATTATGGGTGCCTGGAAGAGTGCTGGGGACACTAACGATAACGACGGAGGACTATATAAGGGAGGAAGTGAGAGAGGTGTTAGGAGTTTTGAAAGGTTACTCTGGTGGGCACCATGGTGATTGGTTGTGGAATGACGTGGTCCAAGGTAAAGTGGAAGCAAAGAAAGTGGCGTACATTAAGTTAGTATAGAGCATCAACGAGGATCAGAGGAGAGCGAATAGAGAAAGATATAAGGAGACTAGGAAGGAGGGAAAATTAGCGGTCACAGAGGCTAATACTGATGTATTTGGTTGGCTATATGAGGAACTTCGAGGCAAAGGTAGGGACAAGAAGTTATTTTGATTGGCCAAAGCGAGAGAGAAGAAGGCACGCGACCTGGATCAAGTGACGTGCATCAAAGACGAGGACGGTCGAGTATTGATGGAAGAGGACTAGATTAGGCAAAGATGGCAGTCGTACTTTCATAAACTTTTGAATAAGGAGGGGGAAGGAAACATCGTGTTAGGGAAATTGGGGCACTCTGAGAGCCACCATGACTTTAGGTATTGTAGGCATATTAAGGTTGAGGAGGTCGTGGGTGCGATGGGTAAGATGAGTCGGGGCAAAGCAACCGGACCAAACGAGATTCCAATTGAGTTTTGGAGATATGCGAGTAGAGCAGGCTTAGAGTGGCTAGCTGGGTTGTTTAATGTTATCTTCAGGATGAAGAGGATGCCTGATGAGTGGTGGTGGAGTACAATGGTTCCAGTGTATAAGAACAAAGGTGATATCCAGGATTGTAAAACTATAAGGGTATCAAGTTACTAAGTCATACCATGAAAGTATGAGAGAGGGTGGTGGAAGGGAGGATAAAGAGGGAGGTGTCTATATTGGAAAACCAGCTCAGGTTCATGCCGGGTCGTTCTACTATGGAAGCTATCCACCTTATCAGGAGGTTGGTAGAATAATACAGGGTAGGAAGAGGGATTTGCATATGGTGTTTGTTGACCTAGAGAAGGCGTATGACAAGGTCCCCAAGGATGTCCTTTGGAGGTGTCTAGAGGTGAAAGGTATGCCGATGGCTTACATTAGGGTGATAAAGGATATGTATGATGGAGCTATAACTCGGGATAGGATTGTGAGAGGTGACTCAGAGCCTTTTTCGGAGGTTATGGGGTTACACCAAGGATCTTCGCTCAACCCGTTCTTATTTGCCCTGGCGATGGATGCACTGACACACCATATCCAAGGAGAGGTGCCATGGTGCATATTGTTTGCTGATGATATAGTTCTGATTGATGAGACACGAGGCGACTTTAATGGGATACTAGAGGTATGGAGGCAGGCCCTGAAGTCTAAAGATTTCAAGTTGAGTAGAACTAAGACGGAATACGTGGAATGTAAGTTCAGCGATGTGACGGGGGAAGCGGGTGTGGAAGTCAGGCTTGACTCATAGGTCATCCTCAAGAGAGAAAGTTTTAAGTACTTAGGGTCAATTATCCAGGGAGATGGGGAGATCGACGGGGATATTACGCACCGTATTGGGTGGGGTGGATGAAATGGAGGTTATCATCTGGAGTCTTGTGTGACAAGAATGTGCCACCGAAACTCAAAGGTAAGTTCTATAGAGTGGTGGTTAGACCAGCCATGTTGTATGGGGCTGAGTGTTGGCCAGTCAAGAATTCACATATCCAGAAGATGAAAGTAGCAGAAATAAAAATGTTGAGATGGATGTGTGGGCACACTAGGTTGGATAAGATTAGGAATGAAGATATTCGGGAGAGGGTGGGCGTGACTCCAGTGGACGATAAGATGTGGGAGGCGCGACTTAGATGGTTCATACACGTGCATAGGAGAAGCCTAGATCCCCTAGTTAGGAGGTGTGAGCGGTTGGCTTTGACAGGCACGGGAAGAGGTAGATGGTGGGCTAAGAAGTATTGGGGCGAGGTGATCAGACAAGGCATGGTGCGGCTCCAGATTTCCTAGGACATGGATCTTTATAGGAATGTGTGGAGGTCAAGCATTAGGGTTATAGGTTAAAGGGTAGTCGAGCGGTTTTCCTCTTTGTCCCGGTTTCCCTCTTTGTACCGATGAGTATGATAGTGTTTTATCTAGCACTGCTAGCGATTTATGTTGTGTTTCACACTTTTGTATAATATTTGTGTTACTGCTTTTCCATTTATGTGCTATCTCTCACGTTAATGATATTATTTTTTGGGTTTTGTTGTCATAGATATATTGTCTCTAAGCCGAGGGTCTCCCAAAAATAGCCTTCCTGGGGTAGGGGTAAGGTCTGCATACAATCTACCTTCCCCAGACTCCACTGGTGGGATTTTACTGGATTGTTGTTGGTTTGTTTGTTTGTTTAGTACTTTAGGGTTCATGCAATTTTTAACAAATTAAACATGGCGTGCACAAATTGACAAGATTAGTGGTCTACCCAGTCCCTAATGAACATATACGAAGCAACCCACATGATTTTGAGGCACATATTAAGCACATTTGACATTTTTAGGCCTAAAAATAACTAAACTAATCAAAGAAAACAAAAACAAAAAATTAAGAAGAATGAACCAAAATCTAACATGGATTAAACATACCAGTAGTGAATGATGCATGCGAGAATCTAACTTGATGAATTGAAGGAAGATTTAGAACTAATGGGACATGCACTGTGTTTGCTTAGGGTTCCAGAGTTCAGAGACTGTAAAGTGTGAATAGTACATGGAGGTCCTATTTATAGGTTGACCCAGTCGGTCAAAAATGAAGCTAATTACGGCCACACAATTTTTAGTGTGGTCTGCACAATTTTGAGTGCGGCCCACACTCTTTACCTGAACCTTTGAAGAAGCTCTGCGGTCCACACAAAAGAGAGTGCGACCACAAAATTTTGTGTGCGGCCGCGAATTGTTAATGAAATTTGACAGGTCAATCTTCAGAGAGCATGCACTTTAGGTCTTCCAATTGTGAGACCGCACACAGAATTGTACAACAGCAAAGTGATTGTGTGGTCCACATAATTATGGTGCAGTCCGCACATTTGCAGTACTTAGCCAAAATTTTCATGCCCAGTCCCTGCAATGCACACCCATTCCTGCATATACTTCAAAACTAGTTAGCACAAAATAAAGTCTATCTAATGAAGAAGAACAAGAAAAAGAAAAAAAGACACATGGGTTTCCTCATAAGAAGCGCCTAATTTAACGTTGCGACACGACGTAGATTATCAATCATTTGAAATGAAGAACCGCCACAATGTGGCCATCATCAGCATTGCCAAGATAATGTTTAATGCGGTGCCCATTGACTCTAAACACCTCATCGCTCTTATTTTTCAAATCTAGAGCACCAAAGGGGGTTACATTCACCACTTCAAATGGGCCACTCCATTTTGACTTCAACTTTCCCGGAAACATCCGTAACCGGGAATTGAACAATAACACAAGATCACCCTCTTTAAACTCCTTGTTGTGGATGTACTTCATCTTCTCCTTGTAAAGGGACGAGCTTGTGTAGGCATGATACCGAAACTCATCTAACTCATTCAATTGTGCCACTCTTAGGTTTACGGCGACATCACACTCAAGGTTCAACTTCTTTAAAGCCCACATGACCTTATGCTCAAGTTCCATTGGAAGATGACGCACCTTCCCGAACATTAACCGGTATGGAGACATCCCGATCAATATTTTGTAGGACGTTCTATATGCCCAAAGAGCATCATCAAGTTTTCTTGACCAATCCGTTTGGTTGGCATTCACTGTCTTTGACAAAATACTCTTGATGTCCCAGTTGGAGACTTCCATTTGTCCACTTGCTTGAGGGTGATAAGGGGTCGATACTTTATGAGTGACACCATGACACCATACTTGGTGAGTAAGGCCCTTGGAGTACCGAATCTTGTAAAGATGCTCTTCTTCAAGAATGCCACCACACTCCTTGCTTCATTGTTGGGCAAAGCAACGACCTCGACCCACTTAGGCACATAATCAATCGCGACTAGAATGTAGGTGTTCCCACAAGAGCTAACAAACAAACCCATGAAATCAATACTCCACACATCGAAAATATCTATCTCCAAAATGGTGGTGAGAGACATTTTATTCTTCTTTGAGATCCCACCGACCATTTGGCATTCATCACAATACTTGACAAGCTTACTAGCATCCTTGTAGATAGTAGGCCAATAGCATCCACAACTCAAAACTTTTGCGGCCGTTCTTGCTCCACCATGGTGACCACCATACGGTGAAGAGTGGCAAGACTCAATAATACCACGGAGGAGGAACAACATTGGTACAAATCATAAAGAGGTGCGGCTCATCCCAATAATAGTCAAGGAAATTCTGTTTGAGCTTCTTCCTTTGGTTTGAAGAGAACTCATTTGGTACAATTCCACTCACAAGATAGTTTTCTAAGTCTATGAACCATGGCATCCTGGTCAATGAAATGGCTAGGAGTTTATCATCGGGAAATGAATCATTGATCTCAAGGCCGTCATGTGGCCTCCCCTCCTCCTCCAAATGAGACAAATGGTCGCCACTTGATTTTCACTACCCTTGCGGTCTTGAATCTCTAGATCAATCTATTGCAATAGAAGCACCCACCACATTAATCTTGCTTTAGAATCTTTCTTGCTCATCAAATATTGAAGCGCCACATGATCGATGTGAAAAATCACCTTTGTACCCATCAAGCACGGGCGAAACTTCTCCATAGCAAAGACAATAGCAAGGAGCTCTTTTTCGGTCACTGTGTAGTTGACTTGGGCATCATTTATAGTCTTGCTTGCATAGTACTCTGGATGGAAGATTTTGTTGATACGTTGCCCCAACACCGCTCCAACAGCCACATCATTTGTGTCA